AATACTTATACTGCAACTGTCTCGGCGATGATTGATTAAGGAGATCGAAAACAAATTCTTTTCTCAAAAACCTCCCCTTAAAGAACATGCATTATTATCTCATAATCGACTTGTCATAAACTCCCGGACAGCTACCAGCAAAGTATTCCGTCACTCAGCGCAACTCTATACATTGGAACATTGTCGTAACGAAATCTGCACAATACCACAATGATAAAGTATAATCGAATGCTCATGAGAAAATTTAACCCAAAAGTGTTGGGTTGCCTAACCCCGTCTGGGTTAGTTACAAGGAAAAAGAACGGATATAGACTAGTTTGGCGTGTATTATGTGAATACTTTACATATCGATCACAACAGACCGTGACGTATATATACTCTCAAAACCATGAATCGAACTAATCGTTATCGATTGTTATAGATTGTTGATTGATAAAGCTACTAGGATTGTCTATGTCTTCGATGCTAATGCAGAAGTAGCGTTGTCGCCGGTTTAGTCGAACTGCGAGGCTTTCATCGCTGCCGCTGCCAGTTCTTCTAAAGGTGGGGACGAGTTCTCGCGTTCGCGTAGTTTATGCATTTCACTTTGTGCTCGTACGGAATGTCGTGCCGATGCCACCACATCCGGTTGATCGGTCCTACAACAATAATAGGATTCTATTCAAATATATCAAACGTTTCACTACACAAATTTCACCTGTGAAGTTTTACGCAATTTGTCGTGGGAAGGGGCGTGACCAAGGCTGCTTATTGGTTGGCTCCGCCCACTCAACTAAATTTGCAACTTAAGAGTGGAAAGGCAACCAAAAACAAGCTAACATAGCCGCACCCCTACCCTCGGTTGACATTCGTGTAAAATTCCAACATATGGTTACTCTAAGGCAACATGTGTTCAGGGCAATCTATCACATCAACAACTTTTCACATGTGCCAGTGAGAAAAACGAGCAAAGGCTGTGCAATGTGCACTTTGCCAGCTGTTACGGTAATTTTAATGATAGAGATAGAGGAAAGGAATGGTCAGAAGTTTCTTTAAGACATCAATTAACCCACTTCATCAGGGCCGGTTCACTACCCCGGTCTACTGCCGCCGATCGAACATCACCAAAACATCTCTCCATTAGCCTAAACATAAAACTCAACAGCATCAAGTGATAACAAAACCTAAAAGTATCACCTTGGCGCCTCACTGCCACCTCGCGCATCCAATACTGACCCGTCATGCTGTGCAACCCTCCTTGGGAATCCCGACAATCCCTCGGACCTTCAAAATTCATTCCTCAACTTCTGCTTAATAAATAATCACAATTTAGGACTCACATAGGATAAACTCTTGATGAGTCTTCC